TGCTTGTACTGTGATCTATATATACCTGCACTTGCATGCTTACCCTTGCTAGGTTGAGATCACTGTCTTGCTTGTTCACCTTGATATATAACTCTGCATGTGAACTGGCCTTGTGGCCTTGTGCTTGTGCTCAGAATGTGTGGTGACGTTGTGATCCACCCTGAGCTTGCCTTTCTTCTCTTGACTGGTCTTGTGACCTCTTGTTCTCCCCCACTTTGCCTATGGGGGTGTGTCAAACTTATATGTTATAGTCTATGTAGGCTGTAGTGGGTCAGCTCATATGGGGTACAACGCTTTAGGGTTTCCTACTTGTACTCCTCATGCTGCTCAATGCAATCATTCCTTCCTCAATTCTCACAATGTGGTCGCTGAGGCAGTCCTTTTTGTAAATTGTAAAAAAATACTCTGGGCACCTGTTTCAGTAACTCTTGTGGTTTGGGCGTTATACGTGCCAGCAGTGTCTTAGAATCACTCGGCTTTTCTGATTTCCCACCATGAGATCCACGACGTGCACTCAGCTCTTGAAGCGAGAGCCCGTTTCATCGTGATGGCATTGACGTGGACTGTTGAAGACCCTGTCGACTCCCAGCGAGGTAACACGAACCAGTTACAGCCGCTTCGCATAGTGCAACTGTCTGTCGTCCAGACAATTCGCGGGTTGTAACGTCGCAGCCGATCACGTCTCAGTAGAATGTCGACCCCATCCAGCTTTAACGCGAACATTTCTAGTGTGAATTCATACTGTGAATCTGAACATTCCCCTATAGCAAATCTTCACTCTTTTTATTTTCTCCCGTGTTTCCAATGTTGTGCTGTCAACCAGCAGTGCATCGATCTCCGGTAAGCAGCGATTAAGTGTAAATCGCAATTTTCTTGCGGTTGCTACAGAAATACAATTGTGAATAGCCGCTCCGTCTCCTATACTTCTCCATTAATCAGTACTAGGCAATTTGTAACCTCATTCAACAAATTGCGTGAATCGTTACAGTCATTTGGTAAGGGTCAGTGGGGTTGTGCGAGCAGTGAGTCTCGTCAATAATGGACCCGTAATCTATTGATTGCTGGCATTTCTTTGCCTCCCAGACTCCCTGCTCTTCTCCTTGGCACTTTAGCTCCTCTGGGCATTCGCTCTTGCGATGACCTGGCCTGTTGCATGCGAAGCAGCGCCCCTTAATTAGTGTGAGAGCTGCATTCATCGCAACGGCATGAAATGTGGCGTGTTCAGTCATTCCCTGTGTACGTTGTCCGTAATGGTAGGACCTCGGCCTTGGTCATTGTAAGATGTCGATTTTCTCGGTAAGCACCAAAATTTTGTTGAGGTTCGAGATCCTGCGTAGGACAGTTTCTTGCGCGATTTGTAGCTTCAAGCCGCCGATGAAGCGATCCACTCGCTCCACTCCGTGCATGTAGCTGACCGGTTTGCATAGCGCAAGAAAAATGCTAGTGTAGTCTTTGTGGAGAGTCGCTCTACACGGGTCGAAGCTAGACTATGGGGAAGGCACGGGTGGTACGAGTGAGAGCAGCATTTTCTCTTGTTCGCTCTACTTGCGCATTCACTGAAATTTGGCAAATGTGTCACTGGCAAAGAATTAATACGCAATGATAGGAAGTGCAATGACAAAAGGTGACTACAACTAGGACCAAGCTGCGTAGCAACCAGGCAGGTCGACCTCCAACGCAGCACAAGGGCGGCTTGCCAGCAAAGCAGGCCTATGGTGTACTAGCACTACTGGGAAGCAGCCTGCCAAGCAAGTTGACAACCTGCCAACGCTACATTAGTGCGGCTCGGCAAAAGCGGCTATCCAGCGTTGCAACGGCAGGTGACAGTAGCGCATATGTGCACCCACTTCACAGGTGCATGTAGGTTGACCAACTTCGTCGACCTGCTCACCCAATTTGTCGTTGGCCAGTGCAGGCAGCTGGCTACACCTCCCGCGCACCCGGCTGTAAAGTCGGTTTCAGCCAAGCGAGGGCAGGGCCATTCTCGTCAACAGTCTTGAACCGACCCAAGCTGTCACCAAGTGCGTAGCCTCTGGCATGTTGAGATTGAAGCCGCGATCGGCTCGAAGCACGCCCAAAGCCTTGCGCACCACGTGTCCCACGTCCAGTACTGGGCGACTTTGCATAATGAACTCTAGGTGACAGTCGGCCCCAGGGGCCTCTCCCCTTGAGTCGTATTCACTTGGCCAACTTGCCATCAGTCCATGGTGGGCCCTAGCAGTAAGGAAACGACGCACCATATCTTCACTGCATTCGACGTGATGTAATTTGCGTGAAAAAATACGTTCATCGTGAACAACTACGATTGAACCGTCAGACGTGCTCACTGGCTAGGATCAAAATAGAGCGGGTTCTGTGGCTTGATTGGCATCGGTGCACCAATGTCTCTATTGCCGACGGGTGCCGCAATGCTGACGTGATGGTGAGCTTCGTGAGGTGTGTTTACGCCTGGTGCTTCCCTGGTCCGCTCCATGTCCGGTGCTTCCATGGATTGGGTGGCACCATTATTGATTGGGCTTGTGTCCCACGCTGTCATTATGCGATGGTGTTCCCAATAAGATGACAATTGGTTCTTCAATTTGTGCTGGTGATTGTGCTGGTGCATTCGGCCTTACTGCTCTCGTGCTGAATCGCGCTCCGCTGTTAATTTTGTAACTTCGAGTGTCGATTCTTCCAGCTGGCACATAATTCCGTCCAGATGCTTTTCCGTCATAGTCGCGAGCAAAATGCGGCCATTTTCGTCCATGGCGGTGGGTGTCGGCTAACTCAGTGGTAGCCTCTGACGTGGCTGTGTGTGCTTGCGAAAGAGCTGACGAGCAGCGGTGCTTGTCGCTGAGGAATATCTATGTTAGAATGAATCGAAGTAGGAAACCCTAAATGAGTTGTACTCTATACTCTTTACCTCATTGCAGCCTAAGAAACCGAACAGCATATAAATATGTTTTGACACACCCCCATACGCTAAGTGAGGGATAGCAAGCACAACAAATTGTCACAACACCACTCAAGAGAAGCAACAAATCAACGCTCAGGGTGGATCTCAAGCTCACTACACAAACTGAGCGAAAGCAAGCGGCTAGTCAACGGTCTCCGTCACGCGCCCCGCAAGTGGCACGACACACTGAAGACGACACTTGCGGCTCTTGACTTCGCTCCTTCGATTGCCAACCCGTCGTTGTTTCTGCGCACGAACTCTACTCTCTCGTTGTCAGGCCCCTATATTCATTTTGGACCACGCTGATCCATCAGCCTTGGTACGGCAAAAAACGCTGACGATCAGTGTTACCTAGGAAAAAAACGCTGAAATTCCAACGTTCGTACAGAAAACGCTATTTGTGTATGGTTTAGATTTGAAGCATTAGTACATATTACATCATTGAAGTGTTACAATTTTCACGGATGGATTGGGATTGACGAGAGAAACAGATGGGCTAGGGGGGCAGTGTAACAGGTGGGCTGGGGGGAGGGGTGAGAGAGGCACGTGGGCGGGCTGGAGGAGAGCCTAATGGAATTGGGGAGCTGGGGGGGAGTTTTAAGTGTAAGAAGTGGGCTGGGAGGGGGTTTCGTATGGAAGAAATGGGCTGGGGGGAGCGACAAGCGAAAGTATCTGGGCTGTCTGGGGTAAGGGAGAGTGGGCAGAGTGGGCAAAAGAGCGGGTAGGGGAGCAGAAAATCATGACATGGTCACATACAACATTGAGTCTCTCGCGCTATCACTCGAAAATTTCAGCGTACAATCAAGGAAAAAGGCTGGAAAAACATACAAAGTAAAAAAAAAAAACTGCTGAAAAGTCAGCCAAGGTACATGCAAAAAAACTTTGAAATCAGCGTAGGGTTGAAAAAAAGCCTGATTTTACGTTGAATCAACGTAAAAAGGCTGATATCTAGGGCACTGCTCGCTGTTTTACATCCTCGTGTACGTCGTCAACTTAGTCTATGCGACTACTAATACTGAGGCACTGGCCCTTGTGAAGGCGGAGCTACAGAAGAGACACACCTGCACTGGCCTAAGTGAGCTGTGGAGCTATCTCGGCTTGTAGATCACCCGGGAAAGAGCAGCGCACACCATCGTTCTGACTGAGTCACACATGGTGCAACAGGTCCTTCGGCGCTTCCGGTTTCAATTCTCCTCGCCAGAGTCCACTCCTCTGCCTACGAGCCACTAGCCAAAAAGAAGGGGTTGCACTATTGTGTGGAGGTACAAGTTACGGTATAGGCAAGAATTAATAACAATGTGATACAAAATGGCGATTGTAACTATTTCTATTGGCAATGACTAACAATTTTTTTTCTATTTATACATTTACATATCTATATTTATAAATATATATATTTATATATTTGTATATTTATATACATTGTTCGACACACCCCCTAACTGCCTGTAGCAAATAGTGCAAGAAGCTAACCCTCAGCGACTGCCAAAGCAGCAACTAAACCGGCGCATGGCAGACATGCGATAGGCCCGAGGCAGACAAGCAGATGCAGCCGCAAGCAGCACAAGCAATTAGTGAAGCAGAAATGTGCGGCAGAAACGAGAGGCGGGGGAAATGAGAGGAGAGAGGAGGAGGACCACAGTGAAGCAGCTTCTGGCAGCTGGCTGGTCACACCCCCCCTCCCCCCCCCCTCCCCCCCATCCCCCCCCCCCCCTGCCACCCCTTCACCCCCACCCCCCACTGCAGTAGGAGCAGTGGTAGGGAGAAGGAGGAGGAGAGGTGGAGGGACGGCTGCTGGCTGATCACACCCACCCCTACACCCTCACCCCACCCCCTCGGCTGTACAATGAGCAGGGAGAGGGAGAAGGCGGGCAGCGGCATAGCACAGCAGCAGAGGATCGTTAGTGGGAGTGACAGCCACCCCCGTCACTCCACTCTCGGCCACCACCCCCAACACTCCCCCTTCCTCCCCACCCAAAGGGGAATACAGTTCTTAGAATCAAGAAGGTAGAAAAAAACACCTCAGCTATGTACATCTTCACCTTGAAAACTCCAAACGTGGTCCTCAGGTGCGATGACCAGCAATGCTTCCACTCGCACTCGAGCACTCATTCCCTTCCAAGCTGCCCGTCGTATCCCTCACAGCCGTCACCGGGGTCACACTCACCGCTGATGGCCCATCTGCTGGGCTCTCCCACTTCTCCTTGACCGCCCCGCCCACTCCTCCAACCCCTCCCACCCCCATATCCACCCCTATAAACCCGCTTCCATGCTCCAACCCACTCTCCCCCTCCCGCCTGACCACCTCCTGGTGTAGCTGCTTCAGCTGTGAGAGCACTTTGGCCATGGAGGGGCGCGAGGCAGCGGGCATGGCAGTGCATTCCAGCGCCAGGGATGCAAGGCTCTGCATGACGTCAGCATGCACCATGCTAACGTCACTGGTAGAGGCAGCTGGGGAGGCCATCAGCGGGTCAATGATGGAGCTAACGTCACTGCTAGAGAGCTCTGCTGTCGCCTGTACGTGGGCAGATGGGGTAGGAGGGAAAACGATTAGGAGGAGATGGACATGTAAGAGGGGATTGGTGGGAGGGAGGAGAGATAAGTAGCAGCAAGTTGCTAAATGAAGCTCTTGAAAGGAGGGTATCAAGGAGAAATATTAGTACTGGAGCCATGAGTTGTTGGATATTGAGAGACAGGTGAACGATGGACAACAACAGAGGTAGTCTGGAGATGAGGGGAGTGTGACTCACCCATTCCCGGATGTGTGACTGAGAGCCATCAACAGAGAGAATGGGGTCCCTGCCTGTCAGCAGCTCCAGCACCAGCACTCCAAAACTGAAGGCGGGGGGGGGGAGGGGGGGGGAAGGTTGTTTGGTGTGGTTGCGGAGAGAGGAGTGGATACAGTGGATCAGCTTCTAGCCGAGCGAGATGGGTTCCCAACCTGTTTGCAGCTCCAGCCTCAGCACTCTGAATCTGGAGGATAAGGGGAAGGGGAAGGGTCGGGTCACCTTGTAGCTGAGCAGATCCGAGACCTCATTTCCAACAGCTACTGCAGCTTCAGATGTGACTCGTGAGCTGACTAGAACCCACAGCTACAGCTCCAATGATTCGAGGTGCTGCTCAATTGTACATGTTCAGTGGTGGTGCTGGGGTACTTATCGGTTCCACATGTCCGAACGCTACAGGCTACAATTTGAAAGGTAAACGAGGCAACAGTGCTCACCTGTAGACATCAGTGGCGGTGGTGGCGAGGTGCGTGTCATGGTATTCGGGGTCCACATAGCCCGGTGTGCCCATCACCCTCGTGGGGTTCACTTTGCTCGCCTCCATCATCCTCATGAACCCAAAATCCGCCACCTTCGCCTGTGAGAGTGGGCGGTGTAATGGGAGGGAGGATGAGAAGAAGCAGTGGAATGCGGTGTGAAAATTGATGACGAGGCACCAGTAAGCAAGGATATAAACAAAAGTAGCAACTAAAGGGGTTGTTTGATTATTAACAAGAATAGAAAATCTGGAAATGAATGAAGAGATTCACAAGAATATCTACGTACGTATGTATGTATGTATGTATGTGTGTATGTGTGTGTGTGTGTGTGTGTGTGTGTGTGTGTGTGTGTGTGTGTGTGTGTATGTATGTATGTATGTATGTATGTATGTATGTATGTATGTATGTATGTATGTATGTATGTATGTATGTATGTATGTATGTATGTATGTATGTATGTGTGTATGTATGTATGCATCTACGTATGTCTCACCCGCATGTTGGCATCTAGCAGCACATTGGCCGGCTTGACATCGCGGTGCACGATCCGACGGCTGTGGAGGAAGCTCAGCCCATCCGCCACGTCCACCAACACTGCCAGCCTCTGCTGCAGCGACATGGGCTTGGCTCCTGGGAGGTGCAAGCGGGGGCATGGGTAGAAGAGGGGGGTGGGAGTTTGAGATGGGCATGGCTCCTGCGAGGTATGGGCATGAGGAGATGAAAGGGCATGCAGAATTACGGGTTCGTGAGGTCAGAGGGCTTTGGCTCCTCGGAGGTGCAAGGATGGGGTAACGGAGAGATGAGGGCATGAGGGATTAGGGGTGTGGGAGTGAGAGCATGGCTCACCTGGCTTTGCCCTAACATCACCTGGCTTGGCCCCATGGGCATGAACTGGGACAGTGATTTGCTCCATCTGCCAGCTTGAAAAAAACGCATGTGATTTGATTGGAAGCCTGCGTGCTTAACCTCACCTGCACCTGTCCTGTGTGAGAGGTCCCCATTGGGCATGAACTGAGACACGATGATCTGCTCCATCTGCCGGCTGCTCTCATTGTAGTCGATGCAATACCCCAGCAGTGGCACCAGCCTTGGGTGCTGCAGCCGCGCCATCGCTTTCACCTGGGAGTGGGGGATTAGGAAGGTGAAGTGGAAAGGAGAAGGCATGAGCGGGAGCAGGCACTATAGTCGTTGTAGTACCCCAGCGTGGGCACGACCCTCTACACATCAATTTAGCCACATAGGCTCTTGCCTTTGTTCCCCCTCATCTCCCCCCTCCCCACCACTTACGTGAAGTCGTTGGAGAGCATGGTGCACTTGACGGTCCACACCGCCCCACACCGATTCGCACCAGTCCGCACTGGTCTACACTGGTAGACACCGCTCCACACCGGTCCACAATCCATTTGACTCCCTTACCTCCTCCTTGAAGTCATCCAAAAGCACACTGACGCAATTCAAGGCCAACACCACCTCCGGATCCATGCTGATGCATGCCCTTGTACATGTCGCTGACAACTTTTGAGGGGCCACAGAAGTCGGGTCCATGCGGATGACACCCTTGTACATGTTGCTGCAGCCATATAGTATGGTTGCTATCCCACAACTCTTCCTCCCTCTTTCCTCTCCCGTTCCCCATACCTCTTTCTTGAAGTCATTTAAGAGTATGGTGGTGCGCTTGACGGCCCTCACCAACTCGGGTTCTGTTGAGTCCACGCCTTTGTGAACATCACAAAAGCCTCATAGTGCCAAACCTTCGCTTCCATTCACTCTCTTTTTCCCAGAAATTCCTCCCCTTCCCCCCATCACCGCCCTCCCTCCCCTCACCTCCTCTTTTTCCAAAATCCCCTCCCTCCACCCCTACAATCCCCTCACCTCTTTCTTGAAGTCATTAGAGAGCATGGTGGCGCGCTTCACAGCCCACAGCACCTCTGGATCTTGTGGGTCCACGCCCTTGTAGACGTCGCTGAAGCCCCCCGATCCAATCAGGTTGACCTCCGAGAATAAGTTGGTGGCCTGCTGAATTTCAGCGAGGGAGTATTGCTTGCACGCTGGGGGGGGATAAGGCACGGGGGGAAATGGGTGTGGATAGAAGAAGGCAGTTGGCAAATATTTGAGCCCACTAGGCTGACCTCCGAGAAGAAGTTGGTGGCCTGCTGGATGTCTGCCAGTGAGTATTGCTTGCACGCTAGGTGGGGGGAAGGGGGTATCAGGTACAAGGAGGTGTAGTAGTGGTGCTACCAAAGTAGCGTGGACAGCAAAGACAGTAACATATGCGAGAGTAGAAAGCACATGGCATATTACTTGGAAAAGGACGTACCAGGTTCAGTTGGGCGGAAGAGGAACCAGAGGAGGAGGGCGAGGGCGACAAGTGCAAGGAGTGCCGCCACAACTATGCCTGCTATGGCTCCTGCGGAGAGACCACTGGTGGAGTCGATGGCCGTAGCTGAGGAGGCATGAAAAGGGAGAACAGAACACATGGAGAGAGAGAGAGAGAGAAGGAAGATAGTGAGGAGAGCATGGAGTGAATGTGCAGAGCAGCTGTAGCTGGCCCTTCTCCTCTGATGATACTCATTCTATCACGCATCGACACATATTATTCTGTAGAACACCTGGGAGAAAGGATGCAACGAATGATGGAATGAGTATTTTGGAAAAAGCGGCACAGGAGGAAAAGCTGTAGCAGTAGGAGACGCACCAGAGGGGGAGGAGGAGCAGCCGAGGCAGTAGCTCTGGCACACGTGGCAGGTGGTGTTGGGCGCAGACGAGTTGGCTGGCGGTGCAGCAGCGGGCAACGGGCTGTCGGGCGGTGGAGAGGCGGCAGGGCAGGTGGCACTGTCATTGCAGAAGATGCTGGGGGTGCCGTACCTGGTGGTGTGAAGGGGGGGTGGCGCATGTGAGGTAAGGGTGCGTGGGTAATGTAGGAAGGTGTGAGGGCAAGGCATGGGGCAGGTGCCATGCCAGTGTACCACTATCTTACAAGAGGTGTTCCATTTCTCGCTTCATCGACCGAAAAACATGGGTTATCCCAGGTGAGAGCACTGCTTAAACTTATATGAAGAGCTGTAACATGTGATCTTGCATAAATTAGCATGATTAAATGACTCAGACTTGTTGGAAATGTTATCGTCGCTGAACGTCAGGGCAGGTATGCATGGATTTTCTCACAAGGCCTGCAGCTGCCCCAGGCTGTTGACGCCCCATGGCACTGACCCAGCCACCCCTGTGTACCTCAGATCCCTGCATCGAAGATCGGACAGATGCAGTGTGGAGGGTTATTAGAGGGAACATGGGTGCTGATTTGGTGGTTGACGCCCCATAACACTGACCCAGCCACCCCGATGTAGCTCAGATCCCTGCAGTGCAGATCAGAGCAGTTTCGGGGGGACGTTCAGATGAGGAACATGGGTGCTGGTGTAGAGCATACAATACAACACCATGCAAAGAAAAATCGCTGCAGCCTGCAGATATCTTGAGATCGAAATCCATGCACAAATAAATGGTTATGTTTCACCCCAAAACAGTTATTATGATTCGGGCCTTGCACATTTGTGCAAGCTTTCTGCTGGTGATGCATTTTGAGGAAAGGATATTACCAGATGTGGGGCAAATATATGACAGCGCCCAGCTTGGGAGCTTACGGGAACAGCTCGCCTGGGGTGTGACTTAAGGATTTCCTTGTTTGGATGCTTACAGGAAAATGAGGTTGGAGAGCGAGGTGAAGGAATCAGGGATGGTGCCCGTGAGGCTTGAGTGGCTCAGATTCCTGCACGGGTGGTGTGAGGCGTGAGAGTGCATTGGTTGTGTTGTGAGAGAAGCAAAACAAGCATGCCAATGGTGCTGCAGCAGCCTGTGATGGTCAAGGTTAAAATGTTCTTTAGTTGAATGTTAGACCTTGCTAAGATGCTATATCAAGGAGCACGTAGCAGAGAATATAACATCACAAGCCAATGCACAGCTACAAGGAGGAGTGATGGGACTTTAATGATGTACTCCAGGTGCTCGCAATGCAAGAACGAATGCACAGGGATGACACAGGGGCCTGAAAATGGGGCTGGAATGCTTGCTATCAAGGCACGTTCTTAAAGGAGGGAGGTGACAAGGTGACTTTTGAGTCGACTCAGAAGGAGGGAAGCAAGAAGGATCCCATGTGGGCGTACAGTGGCGCGAGGGCTGTGAGCCAGCTGATCGAAAGGCTGTGATACCAACATATAGGGAGACGCCGGAAACAGGGGTGATCTGGATGATCCTATCTGGATGATCCTATCTGGATGATCCTATCTGGACGACCTTCTCTGGATGAGTTCATTCGGATAAACCAGTCTGAACGTACAGGGAGGTGAGGGCTGTGAGACGGCTGACGCTAGCGGGGATAGATTCTGAGATGCCGTTGCGACTCATGTCCCTGCAAGGAACAGGGAGGGGTTGTGGCATAAGTGTTGTTGAAAAAGGTTACATGGCTATGATATGGGTGTGTGAATAGACTGGGAGTGGACTTCATCGAAAGGATATGTTTTGTCACACGTTGTTGCAAATGACCACCTGCCTGTGCATGAACGTGCATCACCTACCACAAATCACACCACACATTGACCTCACACGTGCACGAGCATGCAACACCCGCATGCTGAGAACTCACATGTGCATGAGCATGGTAAGACTGCCAAAGGCAGATGGGATGGACCCGGAGAGCTGGTTGCTGCTGACATCACTGTGACAAGGAGCGGAGAGACGAGACAGGAATGGTAAGCGGGGGTGAGGAGGAGGAGAGGGATGGTGGGGCAGGGAAACAAAGGTGCAGTAAGCAAAGGAGATTAAGAGGCATGTGAATGGCTGGAACTTGACTAAGAGGAATGACGTGGATCCATCATGTACAAATTCTATCTTGAACAGTGGAGTTTGGCTCAAACCTGTTGACATGAAAAGATGATGTTTTCTTATATTGTGCATCACGATCGCATCTTTTCAACAACGTGCTCTGGAGGCTGAAGTATCTGCTGACCCGGGCCCTGCTTACTTGTCACCACTATGAATTATTACAGTGCAGTTTTTTTCCTAGCAGGTTGATGCACCAGTTGGAAACGTGTTTAAGATGTGAAGTTTATACTTTCACAACATCCAATTCATGGACTGCCAACAGCTACCAGCTGTTGCATACATCCCATTTGCTGAAAACCTTTCCTTCCATGGTTCTATGTTCTCCGCATGTTAAGGCCACAAAGTATTTAGCTTTGCTAGTAAGTGACCCTTACAGGCAGGTCAACTGTGCCAGAGCTCCCAGGGATGCAGTGACAGTGTCAGAGAGCGAGTTGGTGCTGAGATTGCTGTGTACGCAACAGTACAAAGGTAGAAGGAAGAGGGCATGTCAGCAGGGTGAGCAGCAAATGGCAAGAAGAGTGGCAGCAGTGGTGGCATGTGGTGTGGTTGTGGTGAAAGGGAATGACGAGCGGCAGCAGTATGGTGGGGGCGGTGGTGGGCTTTAAGACGTCTTGAATATGGTAGCCGTACGGTGGTGGTGAGGTGACTATGTTCCTTGGCTGTAAGACGTCTTGAACGTGGTAGCCGTATGGTATGGTGGTGGTGGCAATGAGCATTGACTCACTCACACGCCTCCTCAAAACGATTTTTGAGGTGCCCCTAGAAAAAAATCCTTATGCGTATATCACATGCTCACAACCTATGGAGAGAAAAGGCTCGTGTTGGATACACCAGTCCACGAACCGGCTTGGTTACAGAGACTGTTAAATTGTTGGGTCAAAAGCACACCCAATCCCCCACAACAGAACCTGTGGCATTTTTAACCTCTCTGGGTTACCCCCCTATGAGCCTATGAGAGATTGTGCACCCACAGCCTCTGCATCAGCACTAGCGCACTCAGAAAGTCTGGAATGCTTCCACTGAGAGAGTTGCCACTAAGATCCCTGCCAATGACAGCATGCCACGTGGAGATCCAGATATGGGCGAGGACCACAGAAATATGGAGGTAGCAAGGTCGACGCTGTTTGACGTCAGGAATCCAAGGATGGAGAACACAGGATTCCAGAGGTGCTTGTGGGATTTGAAAGCCACGTGTGCAAGCAACGGCCAGCCAGACATATGACGCCACGTGGATGGAGTGGTCTTGTGAATGCGGGAAACGAGTGCTCACAGGAAGTTAAGGCGCTTGAGGGCTTGAATGGAAGGCGGAAGGGAGCCTGAGAACTGGTTTCCACTCGTGTTGCTGCTTAGCGGAGGGATGGGAGGTGTAGAAGCAGGTGCAAAACAAGGTGGGAGAAGTTTTAAGGACAAGATAGAGCTTGTGCGGATACATGCATGCAGAAAAGATGCTTTTGAGACGTCTCCAAAAAGATTTACTTTCATGTTTCTTGGGACTGCAGTGGCACGTACAGGGATGTAAGGGCCACTAGATGGCTTAGCTCCGCAGGCAGCGTGCCAGATAGCCTGTTGCTGCTAATGTTCCTGCAGACAAGAGAGGGATGAATGGAGGTAATCCAGATAGATGCACATGATGAGGGGCTAACCTGTGGGAGTTGGTGTATAAGAGTGCTTTTGTTAGAGTGCATGTTTGCAAGTGCCCTTACAATGTGGCAAGGCTGCTGAACTGTGCTGTGTTCTGTGGGAAGCCTCCCGTGAAACTGTTTCTGCTGAGATCGCTGTAAACTCCAGCGGCGCACAGACAATAACAGACAGCATTAGGAATAGGGATTGGGATTCTATATGTATACATGCATATTATGCCCAACGTAATCCATAAACATAAGATAAACAGCATGAACTGGAGCGAATGTGGTCTGGAGGCGAGCAAACTGAATAGAGCAGTAAGAATGCTGTGATTGCACAGAGAAACAATGGTGTGGCAAGCATGTTCTGAGGCCCGTACACTATTGATACGTTATATGGGAGGTTGGGGAGTGACCCCTCAAAGAAGTTGTTGTGCAAATACCTGCCATGTGACCATTCACAGCCATGCATGCATCATACCGCAGCATGCATAACATGCCGCACACACACCATTCCATATCAAGCATTTGATTATTGTTTATAACGGGCCGTGTGGTGCCACGGGACAGTAGCAGCGGCATCAGCATCAGCAGCAGCAGAAATGTGTGGTGACGTGTATTGAAACGTAAGCACATGCAATTTCCCTCAAACCAGAGGTGTTCAGAAAGAGGAAGATCAAAGGAGCAGGAAGGGAGCAGGAAGGGTGAAACACGGGGACTGACAGGATGGTGAGGGAGGTGAGAGCGCTGATAGAGGTAGGAAGGGAGCCAGAGAGGGAGTTGTTGCTCAGATCCCTGCAGGTGCCACGCCGTGGGACAACGCGATTAAGAGTGGTGATACCACACTGAAGCTTTCACTTCCAAATTTCTCACAGGCTAGTAGTGTCAGAACTTAGGCTTAGAACTGATACATTAGTAATGAGCTTGAAGCTCTTTAAGTACATCCAAGAAGGGCAAGGAATGGATGGGAAGGGAATCGGGGGCAATCCCTAGGGATTGGGGGTAATCCCAAGGCAATATCCAATTGGTGGGTTGGAGATTGCTTGGAGATAACATTTGGGTTTGGTTGGGATGTAGGTGTACACCCAACCAAACACAAAGTGCAAACTACACTACTCTAGGATATAGAAAATATAAAGTACAAAGTGTGAGATTGAGGGCTAACACTAACAAGTAGTACCACCTGCATGGCTTGATATGGCATTGGCCCACGTACTTGCCTCGTGTGCTCCTAGGGGCATCGCTCTGGCTGATTTACATATGAAAAGGCTAAAAATCCTGAAAGGAAAAGTGGCCTGGCTCGCTTTATGACTTGCGGTTTTTGTTTAGCTGTGAGAGCACTCACAGGGTGGTAAGGCAGGTAAGCTTAGCAAAGCTTTCAGGGAAGGATCCTTTCAGGTAGTTGCTGCCAAGACCGCTGAAGATGGGATGATTTGGCACAGAAGGAGGGAATAGAGGGCAAAGAATATGAAGAAAATGAAAGAGAAGAAGTAGCAGTTGCGTGCACAGGCGTTTGTGCTTGAGTGCTCACAGCTTCTTGAGTGCTCACTGGTGCGTGAGTGCTCACAGGTGCGTGAGTGCTCACAGGTGCTTGAGGGCAGGGCTCTGGCCCAGCTCAACGGGTATGTCACCCGAGAGGCTGTTGTTGCCAAGAATGCTGCAAGAATGGCGCACACAGGCAACAAATAAACAGAAAAGAAAACCGGGGAAAGTTAGACACTGGCAAAATCAATCAGAAAACTGACGAGGTGCAAAATCTGTGCGGCAGGAATGGATGAAACATGTGTGCACGCCCAAGGTGAAGAAACAAATAGGCTGAGGTGATCATGAGCACTTACAGTGCTGTCAGGCCAGTAAGGTTTGCAAAGCCAGAAGGAATCGGCCCACTCAAGCGGTTGTTGCCCAAATCTCTGCCAGTTCCATTGGTGGGAAGTTAAGCAAGGGTTTTGCACGAGCGGGGCCACTCCTGTCAAGTTCGGTTTTCAATCGTGCCTCAGTTGCTTCTTGTCAATCCGAACACACACACTCCGATCAAGTGCACCCAGGCACCACTCCGACCAGGCTGTTGAGTTGTGTGACGTTATCCTGAACGAGCAGACTGAAGTGGGCAATGTTGGTGCTACATTTAATATCATTTCTTCTCAGGTAAATCAACTATGACAAGCGCACTCACAATTTCACGAGGGTCTTCATTTGGGTGATGGTCTCCGGCACGGGTCCACTGAAGTTGGCCATGTTGCCATTGCTGCATGGGATGAGCTCAAAGAAAGGCACAGAGGGGACATATTTAACGATTGTTGTGAGTGTGTGTGCGTTTTATTGTGTGTGTTTGTGTGGGTGTGTGTGTGTGTGTGGAGGATACAAGTTACCAAGCTTACGTCATCACCAGCTGCACAAGACTGCTGATTTCCGAAGGTATCGGTCCCGACAAGGATGTATTGCCAAAGTTTCTGGAAAGCAAAGGCCAACACATGGGAACGTCAGACAATGAATGCCAGAGCAGCAAAGCAGCAAAAATCCATACAGAATGGTGATCCATGATTGTTAGATATTCACAAAGATAAATATCTCATGGCAAGTTAGATTTATACAAAAAAACTCTGATAGAGGCATACAGATCAGTGAGATTGGTGAGTTGAAAGAGCCCTGTCGGGAGGGATCCATGGAAGAAGTTGTTGCAGAAGTGCCTGCAGGAGTATTCAGAATATCGGAGCTTTAGGTTATATCTTGAAAATTGGTATAAGTAGGCATCTAATTGCGGTAAACTACCGGAATTTTCTTGTACTGAATCGTGCCACAAATCATAATTACAGCAATTTACAGGACATGACCATCACACATGAAGTGAAGGTCCAATGAAATTTGCAACCATCATTGACACAATAAATGACTGGATGATGCAAATGTCTGCATGCTTGTCAAATTGGCACACCATGGGCACTTCAGAAGCAGTACAGGGTATCATCTTCAGATTTGGGACAGGGGCTTGAAGGTGATTTGGGACAGGGGCTTGAAGGTGATTTGGGACAGGGGCTTGAAGGTGATTTGGGACAGGGGCTTGAAGGTGATTTGGAAACCAACGAAGGCTCGCAGTTGCAAGTAAGGGTTGGCGTTTGCCAATGAAGCATGCAGAATCAAAAGGGATCCCAGGACGTCTATCACTTCTGTTATGCATAATACATATATGGAGGCTCACAGCTGATTGAGGCTCTTGAGTTTGAGGAATGCTGCTGGGACAGTGCCGGAGAGAGCATTGTCCGCGATGCCACTGCGGAGAGCAGAAGGGAGAGACAGGAAAAGGCTTGAAGAAGGGACGGTACGCCATGGTTAGAGGAGTGTGAGGAGGGAGACAGTGTGAGACAGAGGAAAGAATTCAAGTGGAGGAAAAGAAAATACTTGATGCAGATGGCAGTGTGCATCACACAAGGGAAAGACTTGATTCAGAGGCGCCTCGAGGAGCATGGGTCAGTGCGAGGGAGGCAGGTAGACGGATAGGAAGTAAGTACGCAAGAGGATGAAAGGAATAGACTTGATGCACATCGCAATGTGCATCACCCAACGGAAGCCTTGATATGGTGTTAGGGAGGAGTGCCACTTTATTGTGATAGCAGCGGTGGCAGGGTGTGAGGACAGGCCTGTAATCTCACACAAAAACACCAACAGCCATGGAGAAGCTACTGCAGACCAGAGTGCCAATACAATCCACACTCACATAATGGGAGCCTGAGAGCAGCACCCACATTCCGCTGGTAGCACTCACATATCGCTGGTAACAGAAACCATCTTACAGATATAGGCCTCAAAGCAGCACTCACAGTGCAAGCAGCTGTGTGAGGTAGCTCCATGAGTCGAAGGATTTCTCATCAAATGCCAATACAAGCCACACTCACATGATAATATCCCGAAAGAGGCCCATTTCTGAGAGCAGCACTCACAGTGCGCGCAGCTGTGTGAGGGAGCTCCAAGAATCGGGCACGGAGCCGTTGAAATAGTTGTCTGCCAGCCACCTGAACAGGCATGACAAGGAAGGAGAACGGAAATGAGAGAGAATGACAATTGCTGTAGTCAAGAGTGAGCTGGCTATGGGCGCAGCACATCAGGTTTGATCCTATGGGCAGATTTAGAGGCGTCTATACATTTCCTTGCGCATGAGGAAGAGAATGGAAATCGAATTTCTTTATCCCCGTATCTTTCCTCATTTCATCTGTGTACGAGGATGAGAAGATGAGAACATGTCTCACACAAAGGGGAGTTGACAGGAGACACTCACATTTCTGTCAGATTGGTGAGCCTTCCGATGGTGGCTGGGAGAGACCCTGCGAGCTGGCAGCTGCTCATATCGCTGAGGAGGGAAGGAAAGTGGAAGTTAGAAGAATGAATAATTTTGGACTGGGATCCAGAATAAGTAGACTGCTACAGTGTTTATGCTATACTGGTACCTGTAGCTTTTATACGTGAAATGTTATAAATTAACCTATGTGCAAACGCGACGTGTGAACGGCAATATTGTAGTAACAATTATCGATTGTAGTTGTTTTACGCAATCTGTTATACAGTAACTATCATGGAATCCGTTGCAAGAAATTTTTAACAAATCTCCAGGGTGATAGGTGTCACATGAAAACAGCACAAGTGTTTTAACCCAAGGACTACGTACGTGCATAGCACGCACACGTGTATGATGAGAGCCGTAAGGAACACATGAACATCATTGGCAAGTGCTACAATTTTTACAGTCCCAAATCGTCGAGAGGATTTCGATGACTTACAGAAAACGAAGGTTGATGAGCCTCCCAATGCCAGAGGCCAGTGGGCCTGTGAAGCCATTGGAGTTTAAGTCACTGCACCAAACCACACATTAAAGGAGGGAGAGACGTGTCTGAATATTTATCTCAGTTCACGCAGACTGTGTATACGAAGGGAATGCTGGTTTTAGTCAGCAGCTGCCCGCCTCTGTTTTTGCTTGCTTGCATGTGCCTAAAGGCCAACATACTATGAAGTACCGTTTGAGAGGTGTGTGTTGTTACCATGCACTGTCTGCACTGTCTGCAGTGTGTGCACTGTGTGCGCTGCATGTGCTATGTGTGTGCAGCATGGAAATTATGGTGGGGGGGCGGCACTGACAGTTTGGTGAGCCTCGTGAGGTTGAAGAGGGAGGCAGGGATGGTGCCGTTCATGTCGTTGTTCTTCAGATCCCTGCAGCCAAGCAAAGAAAAGGGTAGCAAGGAAATGGAGGGGGGGGTGGGCAGTGCACTGCAGAGGGCGGTGAGTGGAGGCAGGGATGGTGCCATTCATGTTGCTCTTCTTCATATTCCTGCAGGCTGTCAAAGAAAAGGACAGCAAGGTGGGGCAGTGCAATGCAGCGGGCGGTAAGTGGAGGCGGGGATGGTGCCGTTCCTGTCATTCACATCCCCGATGTAGTTCGTGGAGCAGTTCGTGTGATCCCTGGAGGCGCAATCTGAAGGGAAGGTAGTTCTGCGTCCATGAGACAGCGTGGATTGGCGTTTTATGGCATGAGATGTGCACTAGTTTGCAATGGAGTGCACTGATTTGCAATGGAGTGCACTGGTTATAAATGGAGTGCACTGGTTTGCAATGGAGTGCAGAAAGCGGTATTCAGCGGCATTATGCACGCACTGGGAAAAGAGGCACCCACAGGGCAACGAGGTTGGTGAGCTTTCCGAGTAAGGTGGGGATGGTGCCGTTGAGCTGGTTGTCTCGCAGCCACCTGATGGGTGGGATTCAGGGAGAATGTATGTGTGAAAGTGTGCATGAGTTTTGAGGGGTCCCAAAACTCAAATTAAGGAGGAAATAGTGTCGTTCAGCTGCTTGCCTCGAACCTATCTGGTGGCTTTCATGGATAGATTTGTGGAATACGTACAATGTATACACACGCACGGTAATAGATGAAATCAGTGCATATACCTGGGAGTAGGGATGAGCATAGGGACCCGGCGGGTCGGGTCGACCCGACCCGACCCGGGTTTTGACCCGGGTCGGGTCAGGAGTTCTGAACCACTGACCCGGCCGGGTCGGGTCGGGTATACCCGGCCGGGTCGGGTCGACCCGTGACCCGATTCCGGGTCGGGTCGGGTCGGGTCGGGTTTTGACCCGATTATGGACTCGACCCGGTTTCGGGTACCGCGCCCTATCTCGGGTTGGGTATCTGGCCCGACCCGAGGGTTTCCTCTCGACAATGTTATCCAGATCGCAATCGCGCTTGCTTGTTTTCCCAGCAACTAGCATTTCGATCTGGATTAAGTTAGGTTAACTAGCTAGTGACGCCAGCAGCCACCCACCAAGCAACATTGGCGTACTAATCTACCCTAGAACCCACGATAATGTTTAGTTAGTACTCAGCCAATCGCACTTCGCACTTCGCGCCATCCATCTTAGGATTTCTTTTAAATCCGAAATTTACAGGTCGCGCTCCCACCCTAGGCGCGCGCATTGCAGGCCCGCGTTTTAGGGCATCTCGGCGCGCCGTGCAGGCGCAGGTCGCTAGACCCGCGCCCCTACACATTATTAAGGAGAACCTCTAACCCTGCCTATGGGAGTCGGCCCGACCCGACCCGACCCGGCCCCGACCCGACCCGACCCGGGGGCGGGTCAAGCCTGACCCGGCACCCGATACCCGGGTCGGGCCAGAGATCTCAAAAGTTCCGACCCGACCCGACCCGACCCGGAACCCGGCTGGCCCGCCAAAGTCGGGTCGGGTCGGGTCGGGTCGGGTCATTTGATCATACCTACCTGGGAGGGGGAGCCTGGGCTTACAGCTCTGTGAGGTTGTGCAGGTTCGCCAAGGAGACCGGCACACTGCCGTTGAGCTGGTTGTAACTCAGCTCCCTGTTGTCAGGGATGCATGTAGAGGGCAACACACATAACGGAGATCATGCAAAATGGGCAACACACACAAAGGTGAAAACACAAAGGGGAACACACATCATGGGGAGCATACATGATGAGAAACACTCACAAAGGGGAACACATATAGTGAGTGAGAAACAAAAAGTGAGCAACACACACGACGATCAGCATACAAACACAAAACCAAAAAGCTACTGAAGCACCCACAACCCACACTCACGTCAGCCGGTCACACACAAGACTCACATTCGCTGCAGGTTGGAGAGAGTGCCGAAGCTGGTGGGGATGGAACCTGTGAGTGCATTGCTACGGAAAGCCCTGTTGGTGTTACAGAAAAGAGAGGCAGGTAAATATTGGCAGGAGATTAGTGGCAGGAGAAGAGGGGCAGGAACAGGAAAAGGAGGAGTGGCAGGGGGACAATGAATCTTTGAGTTCCTTCTCCACATACATCCCATCCTGCACAATGTTCGGGAGAAAATAAGCAGTCTACTGGAAGGGATGGGAGTAAAACTAGCAGAAACCCAAACTTCAAGCTGTGAGACTTCTAAGAAAAAAACCTGCATTATGATTCTTTGATTCAGAACAGACACATGAGGCCAGACCGCTATGGTAGGTTGGTGCTTTAATCTTTCTCCGTACATGTCTGTGAATGCTGTGAGCTCGGACATGCTTTTGAGGCTCCTCAAAAGTGGAAGAAAGTGAGTGGTTAACTTGTGCTGATGGACCTGTTCTTCTTACATGTCTGTGAGTGCTGTGAGCTCGGACAGGAAGTCTGGTAAATCTGAATTCATCTTGTTGAACGCCACAGAGCTGCGCAAGGGGAGGGTGGGATTGTCAGAGCACATAAGGGGATGAAGAGGGGCAATTTTAGTGCATGATTAAGCGAGCGATGTGGATAGAAGAGCTGATGCGGGAAAGCGTGGGAGAGCAGAGGAAGACAGAAAAAGTGGCAGAAGAAGGCAACGTCTCAGTGTTTCTTAGCAGAACTATCTTCAGTGTGCCTAAAATCTGGAGCAGAAGGCACACAGTATGTAAGTATAGAGAGAAGACTGCCAAACATCAAAGATTTCAAGTGGACGAGTCACCTCACCATGCGACAAGAGGGAGGGAGATGAAGGGCTAGGCGCAGAGACTTACAAGAGTTCGAGCTTCTTCAGCTTAGTGATGGTCTCGGGAATGCTGCCATTGATTTTATTGCCACCCAGGTTCCTGCACGGTTGGAAGAGAGGGTGACAAAGCGAGATGGGTTTTGAGATGTCTGGAAATTGCGGCAATGGGCAGGGGCAGTAGGCAGTGGCCAGTGGGCAGTGGGCAGTGGGCAATGGGAAATGGACAATGGGCATGGTGGCAGTTGCGGGTGGGCAGTGGCTACATGCATACATGTGTACACCTCTTATGATTATTCACTCGCTGGTAGATGAACTGTGAGTCAATTCAATTAGGTCTCATATGCTACAGTTATGAACTTGGAAGCTTTTTGTGGCGTACGGGTCACCCTAAAACTCATAGAATGTTGCAATGCTAGACTACACAGATGGTAATCCATAAATACTCCGCAATAATCATGTTCCACAGCTCAAATGTACTTGAGGATTGAGGTTGAGGTTGTGTGTGAGCGTTCAAGTGTATTTGAGATGGAGAAGGTTGTGTGCGCGCTCACAGGTATCTGAGGTTGAGGAGGTTGCCAATGCTGGAGGGGATGGAACCATTGATGGCTGTGGCGGCATCAGGGTACGGGCTCCACGCCACACTCCTGCAGTGACAACAACGAGGCACGGTGAGTGCTCAAACAGAGACGATTGGTGTACAGGTAACGCTGCATGGACTTACAAGTTTAGGGTTTTCAAGCACAGCATGGTACAGATTGGCTCACATGAACTCAAGGTTAGTGAGTGTGCCGATGGACTCTCCAATGGGACCCCAGAATTTGTTGTCGCTCATGTCACTGGCGGAGGTGCATGGGGTGGGGAAGCACAACAGCATATACGGAACGGTTTGGTATGGTATGGAGTGGCATAAGCGAACCCAGAACGGTCTGTTGTCGTTCATGAAACGGCACTATAGGGACGTTTCAAAGTTCATAACAGGTTCATCAGCGAGAATCATGCGAGGGATATATTCACCGGCCTTCTGACAGAAGAGCTTATTACATCACCTGTGTAGAGGGATAGTGGAGTGGAGGCTTACAGCCATGTGAGCTTGGTGAGAGTGCTGATGTGAGATGGGAACGAGCAGTTAATGCTGTTGAAGTGAACATCTCTGCAGCCGTCACCGGTGTGAGAGAGCACAGGAGGGCACAGACATTTGCAAGCATTTCGATGTGTAATAGGCTTGAAACTTGTAACTGCAGTACTGCATTTTCTTTCAAAAATTCTAAAGAACTTCAACACTAGTCTCTTCATATGATAGCAACACAAACCGCCCAGGAGTACAGGTGGATGGAGAACTTTCAAACGATGGAGGCAGGCACGCATATGGGATGATTCAATGGATTATAAGCAGACGGATGCATAAAATGGTGGAGGAGGGGAGGCGACTGACAGAGCAACAAGGTTGGTGAGGGAGCTAATGGCAGCAGGGAAAGTGCCGTTAATGAAGTTGATGGAGATGTTGCTGGAGGAACATGTAAACAAGGCAAACAAGGAACCGAAGGGATGGCAGGCAAACAAGGTAGTTGAAGCATACAGGTGGAGGTGATATTGTGTGTGGTTGATGAGATTAATGGGCATGTTGCTGGGGGAGGGTAGGGCTGTGGGGTAGAAGCGAATGAACTGTGAAAGACACTCAGGTACACTGGTGAGTGAGGCTAAGCAATGTGGTGACTAAGGGGGACATAAATGATAACGGTGATACAACCAGAAAAGGAATGAAAGGTTTGAGTTGAATGATGAATGGGACCCTTCCATGCTGCTGCCCTGCTCACAGGTTGGTGAGACTGATGAGATTGCTCAAACTGGCAGGGAGTGTCTGGTTCAGCTGGTTGTTGGCGACTTGCCTGCAAGAAGGGAAGGGCATACAAGAACCGACCAATGAAATGGCATCAACAATTCTTGGCTGTGCAAGAGAGCAAGGGACACAAGAACCAGCAAAGACAACGGCATCAAGAATTTCATGCGATGCTTGTCTAAATCCTAGGGTACACCTACAGGTGCTTGAGTGCCTACAGGTGCTTGAGTGCCTACAGGTGCTTGAGTGCCTACAGGTTCTTGAGTGCCTACAGGTTCTTGAGTGCCTACAGGTTCTTGAGCGCGGAAAGTCGGCTGAAGGAGTCTGGCAGCGACCCGTTGAGGCCATTGTAGCTGACGTCACTGGTGGTGGGTGAGCAAAGAGGCGAAAGTGACAAAGGAAGAGGATCAGGGAAACGCTCAAAATCTGATGCAGATAATTGTTGCAGTTGATGGCACGAGCAGGAAGAAATCGCAAGGAAACACTGTAAGACATGCCATTTTGCAACGGCCAGGGAAAGCACCAAGCAGGAACAAGGAGTCTTTTTTTCAGATTCCATGGTTGTTGCCATGGAGGTGGTGTGTCGGTTCCTTCAAAATAAGCTGTGGAAGATGAGAACACTATAGACAAGAAGGCTCTTCGAGGACACTAGACGTGTGGTATACTTGCAAATAGAGAAGAGAGATGGGTTTTGTAGATGACCAGGTAGGGGAACTGATATTGAAATTGCAAGTAGAGGAGGTGTCGAAGACTCACAAATAGAGGAGGTGGGCGAATTCACCAAAGGACGATGGAATGGATCCATTGAGCAGATTCATTGTGAAGTTGCTGCATGGAATTTTACAAGTGGCAGGTGACAAGGGGCCGCATGGATGGATTAAGAGGAGGACATGAAGTTGCACTCAAATCAACACCACATTTCCCACTCCATCCGACAAAAATGCAGAGGCTGACCCCTCGCCTTTGTTATTTTTCCTATGCAGAATCTCTCATAAGCTACATTCTTTCGTTTCAGAGGCAGCAATTTTGTAGATATAAAGCAGAAACCTCATATCTCTGTAGGCACCCTCCTCACACCCCATGTTCCATTTTCAATGCGCATTTTGTCTCCCCACGACCCACATCAATGTTTTTGTTTTTTCCAGTTTCTGTATATTTCTTTGGTGTAGGTGCATACAGAGAGACGAGGTTGGTGAGGTTTCCCAGAGATTCAGGGATGGAGCCGTTGATGGCGTTGCTGGCCAGATTGCTGGAAGTGGTCATGGCAAGGCGGGATGGATGGTATGGTGGGAGGGATGGACGGAGGGAGTGATGAGTGGTGGCATGGCATGAATGGAAATATTGATGGGTATGATGGAGGGATTGATGGGTATGATGAGAGAGAGTAGTGGAGGGAACGTTGGGAAGAGTGATGAGCAGGGTGGGGTTGGAGCATTGGGCGTGGAGAGAGAGAGAGAGAGAGAGAGAGAGAGAGAGAGAGAGAGAGAGAGAGAGAGAGAGAGAGAGAGAGAGAGAGAGGAAAACCTTTAGCCCTCTGCCCTCTGCCTCTTCCCTCTGCCCCCCCGCCCTCCAGAGCTATTTAAGGGCCGTCCCTCTCCCCTTCTCCTCATTATTTCGTACGGAGTTCATTTCCGGCGGGAGAGAGCGAGAGAGAGAGAGAGGAAAACCTTTAGCCCTCTGCCCTCTGCCTCTTCCCTCTGCCCCCCCGCCCTCCAGAGCTATTTAAGGGCCGTCCCTCTCCCCTTCTCCTCATTATTTCGTACGGAGTTCATTTCCGGCAAGGGGTCAGCCTCTGCATGGAGGAACGAGACCGATTGCCATAGGGGAGTGCATCCTGCGTTTAGCAGCTAAGGCAGCACTTACTCAGGTAGCGGATGCAGCACGAGAGTATTTCTTACCTTTACAGTTCGGGGTAGCCGTGCCAGGGGGAGCAGAAGCAGTCATACATGTTGTCCGGACCTACACAGCGGCCAACCAGGATGCCCTGGTGTTACAGGCCGACCTGGCCAATGCGTTCAATAGTGTCAGCCGCCACGCCATAGCGACGGCCTTGAAAGGATCGCAGCTAGAACCGCTGCTGCCGTTGGTGCATTTCTCGTACGGCCAACCCTCCACGCTGCACCTGGATGCAGCCTTCGCCCACCCACCCCTGCTCAGTGAAACAGGGGTCCGCCAGGGAGACCCCCTCGGCCCCCTTCTTTTTGCCGCGGCCATGCAACCAGCTTTGAGAGCAGCAGCGGAGGCTCACCCCGAGGTCATCTGCCTGGCCTATGCGGACGACGTGACCTTCCTGGGAGAACCGTCATCATGTGCAGCTGCTTTTACACACTTCACGGGCCGCCTGGCAGAAATTGGGCTCAGCCACAATCCTGCCAAGTGCGGGGCTTGGGCAGGCAGGACGCCCACGGACTACCGCCTGCCAGAGGGGGTCCCTCCCAGCAGTGACGGATTGAAGGTGCTGGGCAGCTACATTGGCACCTCCACGGCAACCACTGGCTTCATACGGTCCAGCCTGGAGGCGATGGGCGCACCGCTGGGATTGATTGAGCGGATGGAGCCACAGCTGGTGGGACTGCTGCTTTCCCGGTGTATCTCCCGCCGAGTGTCATACCTAGCCCGCACAACCCCACTGCCTTTCCTACCAAAGGAGGAGTGGTCTGAGTGGGGACGGAGGCTGCTGGAAACACTGCTAACAGCATGCGCCATCAATCACCCTCGTGGGGACGAGGAGATTTCACGCACGTGGGCGCAAGCCTCACTCCCCGTGTCGCTCGGCGGCCTTGGGTTGACGGACCCATCAGTAGAGGGAAGCTACAGCTTCCTCGCCAGCTACACGCAGGCGCAGCTGCTGCTTGACTCCCTGGACAGCAAGTGCACCGGCCCACTGGAAGTCACGCGCGAGCTGATGCGTGGCCCCTTGTCCGAATGGCTTGCGGAATGTGAAGGGGAACTGCCGCTTCCAGCCCAAGAAGCTCTTCAGGCTGAGAGATCGGCTCCAACTGCAGGGAAACTACAGCACGGGCTGGCCACGGCCATCCAGGGCCAGCGCTATGCCGTGCAGGTGGAGGAGGTGCGGGGGATGAGCCCGAACCCCAACAACGGTCACACGCAGCGGATGCTGTCCCTATCAGGGTATGGGGCGGGGGATTGGTTAAACGCAGTGCCCATCCACTCCTCGCTCCGCCTTGAGGCTCCCCACTATGCCAACGCGCTCCAGTTTCGGCTAGGGCTCCCCTTTGCGGCTCCAGGGGTTTGCAACTGCTCCAAGAAGGTGGAGATCCTGGATAAGCGGCTCCCGAATCACCTGCTTCGGTGCGGAACAGGGGGGGGGGGCGCACAAACACACACAATGAACTCAGAGATGAGTGCGCGCGGATGGCGCAAGATGCAGGCTTCATGGTGCACATCGAGACGGCCGCCTTCAGCCCAGTGGAGGAGAAGAAGGCAGACCTGGCCTTATGCTGCCGCTCTACTGGCGCCGTCTACATCTGCGATGTGACGATAACGGACCCCATCAGCACCCGCGATGGGAACGCCACCAAGGGGAGGGGGTGGGCGGCACGAGAGGCAGCAGATAAGAAACACGGCCTTTACAAGGACCGCCCAGAGTGGATGAAGTTCTTCCCACTAGCGGTCGATCGAAACATACGGGTGTCCCTGCCCAAAGTCAGTAGACTTCCTGAAACTACTCGCAGAAACGGCTGCACGGCGGTTTTTCAACGCCGAGCCCACCTCCTACCAAGCTGCCAAGCTCTTACACCAATACCGGCAGCGGTGGTCAGTGGCTCTTCAACGTGGGCAGTCGATTGGGTACCTGGATAAGTGCAACATAGCAGCAGCAGTTGAAAACCCGCTACTAGAAGCAGTGGGTGAGGCCCCGTCCCTTGGGGACTGCCTCGCGGTTCTTGATCCATCACTGGATCTCACTTAGAGGGCGCAGAGCAAGATGAGAGAATAGCAAGTATAGGCAGTACTAGCCCCACCTTTGCGTTGACTTGTACCTTGCATGTCTGTACGCTTTGACTATCAATGAAAGGGCCATTAGAGAGGGTACAGAAGGGGATGTGATTGCAGCACTGCAACTTGCGAGGGGCAGAGGGAGATCACGTTAATGGAATATTTCCGGGACTGCAGAGGTACTAAGTTACTCAAATTCTTGCAAGACAGGCTTCTTAGAGTAGTGAGTCACTCACAGGCTTGTAAGGGCAGTGAGTTGGTCCAATTCGTGAAGCAGAGTGCCATTCAACAAGTTGTCACTGATGTCACTGGATAGCGTAGGAGTAAAAGGGGGGATGAATGAGCAAGTGAGAGCGAGGGCTAATTAAACAACGAAAAGTGTACTGAGGTCACTGGGAGCTGAAAGAGAGGAGGGAGAAGGAATGCTGAACAGATATGGACGACCAAAAGGATTACTGTGCAGAGGGAGGGCGAGAAGTACCGCTGAAAGATAGTGGTCTGGGACCACAAAGGACACATACTGGATGAAATAGTTGCGCTTTGAGTGCACTAAGGACACAGACATGAATGGGGTGATGCAAATGGTACAGGTGCGATGGGTTATGATACGTTGCAGTGGAGACAGGTGAAAGAGAATGGAACCGAGAGCTGGGAGGGTAGGGGACTAACAGGTGGGAGAGGAGGGAGATTCTCCCAAGGCCTTCAGGCAGAGAGCCGCTCAGCTGGTTGTTGCTCAGGTCGCTGCAGATTGGAAGGGGAGAGATAGGTAGGGCGGTGGAGGGAACGATGCGTTTGGGAAGACGAAGAATCTTTCCATCCCTCTCTTTTCTTAATAATTGTTCTGAGTGTGCTGGGGAACCATGAGTGAAAAGAGTCTTGGGAAATTGTCTTTTTTTGTTGATTCAAGCTAGTAACTGTTCTTGGTGAAGAGTGCAAGGTGAAGCTTCAAATGAAACAAACAGGACAATGAAAAAACGCAATTACCATATACTGGGTGTTACGAGGGAAGGATAGGAGAGTGGAACAGCGCTCACAGGTGCTGCAGATGCAGAAGCTTGCCCACCCCTCGAGAGACATTGCCTTCGAAGGCATTGGCACTGAGGTCGCTGTTGGGGGGAGATGGTGAAGATGAGTGACGATGGGCGTGAAATGAGAACAAGAGTGGACGATAGGAGAGGGTTAGGAAGGGTGATTGAGATGTTTGGAAGGCGTTGGCACTAAGGTCCCTGTGGGGGGGTTGGGGGGCATTGAGAGTGACAGGGTGTGATGAGAGAAAGCGGGTGGGCAGAAGGAAAGTATGCAGCACGAGAAAGAGAGAATGTTGTGAGGGCTGAGTGTTCTGAGGGCGCAGAAGGAGGTGAGAAGGGAGGATTGGGGCGCCCAAACCAACAGGGGGCTATGCTGAAGGTGCGAACAGCCAACGCCACTAAAGGATGGCATGGGCGATGTGCAGAGGTGGTGCGCGTCACAAGAGCGGCACTGGCAAATGGCACAGGTGCTGTGCACGGCATGGGTGCTGTGCCTCACGTACACACGGCATGGGTGATGTGCCTCACGTACTGATGACATGGCTGAGCCTCTTTGGTGGTGTGCATTGACATGGGTGTTGTCGTCATGTGCATCACGAGAGTGACAATAGCCAATGGAATGGACGCTATGAGGTGAGTGCATCACGTACAGGCGAGTGAGGTGGTTGTATCTTCGCAGGCGAGGTAGCGAGCCATTCAGGGCGTTGGAGCTCAGGTCGCTGCACTCGCAGACACAAGAAATGGAGAATCAGTGCCGTTTGGTAAGCATTGAGAAGGCGGATACGTAGTTTCTTTTAACAGGGTGTTAAACCGCTCAGGTCGCTGCACCCCTAGACACAAGGATTGGAGAAGCGGTGCCTTTTATGAAGATTTATAGCTGCGCACAGGAGATAAAGAGTGATATCAACCGGAATTTGAATCTACACACGATCTTAAAGCTGCTGTGAACATGCAGAGCACTTGTAAAAGGTGAGACTCACAGGGTGTGCAGGCCAGTGAGATAGCTCAGCATGCCGGGAACAGTGCCGACGAGGAAACAGCTCGAGAGATTGCTGTGCGCAGGCAGAAGAGAGGTGGAGAGATAGAGGAAGAGAAGCCAGAAGGGGAGAATCTTAAGAGCTACATGAGAATCTTCCAGTTGTGCGCTAGACTGAGAGGTCATGTGCGACTCAAGTCAGCCCCGTGCGACTCAAGGCATCCCTGTGCGACTCAAGGCATCCCTGTGCGACTCAAGGCATCCCTGTGCGACTCAAGGCATCCCTGTGCGACTCAAAGCACCCCTGTGCGACTCAAAGCATCCCTGTGCGATGCAGTGTGCTGCTATCCTGCTGGTCAATTCATCATCCGAGTGCTGCAGTGGTCCTCTTTGAGTGAAGCAGTTTTTGCAATCGAATTTCTCTTAGGTAGGGTTTTACTCTCTTTTCTTCTTTTTTTTGTTCAGGAGCGTTTTTCGCTGCATGTTGCAGCAGTCTGCTTACAGGCGTGTGAGCCGAGTGAGAAAGCCGAGAGCTGAAGGGATGGAGGATGAGAAGGCGTTGTCAGAAATATCCCTGTGGGAAAGAGGGTGAGGAGAAGCAGGGTTGAGGAGTTTTGACACGACGCGAACATGCGTTGGTTGGAATTTTAGATGTGAAAGAAGACAGTTCCGTTGAGTGAGTGGTAACAAGGGGAAAGAGAAGGGGAAAGGGAGGGGAAAGAGAGGGGGAAAGGTAGGGGAAAGAGAGGGAGAGGGTGAAAGAGAGGGGGAAAGGTATGGGAAAGAGAGGGTGAGAGAGAGGGGGAATGAGAGTGGGGAAGAGAGCAGGAAGGATATGTGAAGTGAGAGCTTATTAGAAACAGATTGCAGGGAAAAGAGCGTGGTCAAAACACAACTGGTTTCCAGGATTACATATACTTGAGGCATTAACGCATGCCAAGGCTCCTACGAAAGAGGCCTGTCAAGGAGTTGTCTTGCACCCAGGATCGGCAGTTCCCTTTCAAAAGCTCACACGTCATTGTTGCGATCCAAAACACACCTGGTTTCGCTTCAGGCTTACATGTCCTTGAGGCGTGGAAGCATGCCAAGGCTCCTAGGCAGGGTACCAGTCAAGGTGTTGTTGTGCAGGTCGCTGGAGATGACAGAAGTACGGTGGCAGTGCGGATGCGAGTTAAGAATCCGCAACAAAAACGGCACGGTGGTGAGAGTGGTTTTGGTGCACTGGAGAACAGCTGGTGGGGACAACAGAGCAAGTTGAGATGGCAATGTTTGTTTCACGGGTCTCCGATTTTACCAGTGATGCCACCCTTAACAAAAACCCGCACAGTCAGTGGAGTATCTTTGTTTCATTTCAGCTTGTTGCAGCTGCTATTGCCATGGGTGAGGTTCAACCAAGATGGATTGAGACGCCTACAGAACAATGAGTGGTTCATCACGACCTACCAAGGTAGGGGAAACTCTTACCACTTTCTCAAAAATCGCTTACAGGGCGGTGAGTGATTTGAGTCGACCCAGGGAGGCAGGGATGGACGAATTGAGCCGGTTGGACGAGAGGTTCCTGCGGGAGTGAGGACCGTCAGGCAAAGCGATTGGGAAACCAGAGAATTTTGATTAACAGGCAAAGGGGAGCAGATAGTTTTGGACAGCAGCCACTGCAGAGAAGAGTTTAAGGGTTTGGAAGGCAGCGAAGGCAGCCTGATGGAAGGGTTTATGGGTTTCGCCTGCAGAGATGGAAGGCAGCGAAGCCTGGAAGGCAGAAAAGTCTGGAAGGCAGAAAAGTCTGGAAGGCAGAAAAGTCTGGAAGGCAGAAAAGTCTGGAAGGCAGAAAAGTCTGGGAGTCAGCAAAGTCTGGAAGGCAGAAAATTCTGGAAGTCAGCAAAGTCTGGAAGGCAGAAAAGTCTGGAAGTCAGCAAAGTCTGGAAGGCAGAAAAGTCTGGAAGTCAGCAAAGTCTGGAAGTCAGCAAAGTCTGGAAGTCAGCAAAGTCTGGAAGTCAGCAAAGTCTGGAAGTCAGCAAAGTCTGGAAGTCAGCAAAGTCTGGAAGTCAGCAAAGTCTGGACTGGATAACAGATTGTATCTGCTCTGCATTTATGGCCAATGGACAGCGGATTTATGTTAACCAACCCACCGGGGCACACTCTAAATCGTACACACCAATAGGTCACTGCATCCAATTGTCCAAGGAAGGGTGTATGCATGAATGATGAAACCACACACGGTGGACGTGTGGCTGGGCTAGTGGAGTGCAGTTCGATTCTTGAGTCGATTGAACAGGAGGGGAAGGTGTGCGTTACAGGACAAAAGGCAGAGGTGAGACTCACAGGAAGCGCAGGTTGGGAAGCATGCCGAGGCCGGCTGGAATGGGTCCCTGTAAGGAGCTGTCGCTCAGATCCCTGGCATGGTTCGAAGCAAGGTTGCAGAGAGGGGAGAGATGAAGGTTAAGTTGACTGAAAGGTCATTTCTGAATGGATCCGCATCTGTTGCTCCAATTCCTGGGAGAGCATTAATGGAAGGTCCAAGGAGGAGCAGGGCAGAGCAGGGCTCTAAGGGAGGAAGGGCATGCAGGGGGGAGGAAGGACATGCAGGGGGGGAGGAAGAGCATGCAGGGGGGGAGGAAGGAGGGGAAGAGCACCAAGATAAGGCGCAAGGGAGGGGACCAACTTAGGATCTAGAATGAGCGAACTGTTGCCTGTGAACCAAACCTTGGCGCATAGGAAGGCATTGAAGAACGAGGGAGTCAAGGCATGGGGAAAGGGTGTAAGGGCATGTTAGAAGGGTGTAAGGGCATGTTTGAAGGGTGTAAGGGCATGTTTGAAGGGTGTAAGGGCATGTTTGAAGGGTGTAAGGGCATGTTTGAAGGGTGTAAGGGCATGTTTGAAGGGTGTAAGGGCATGTTAGAAGGGTGTAAGGGCATGTTTGAAGGGTGTAAGGGCATGTCTGAAGGGTGTAAGGGCATGTTTGAAGGTGTAAGGGCATGTTTGAAGGGTGTAAGGGCATGTTTGAAGGGTGTAAGGGCATGTTTGAAGGGTGTAAGGGCATGTTTGAAGGGTGTAAGGGCATGTTTGAAGGGTGTAAGGGCATGTTAGAAGGGTGTAAGGGCATGTTTGAAGGGTGTAAGGGCATGTTTGAAGGGTGTAAGGGCATGTTTGAAGGGTGTAAGGGCATGTTTGAAGGGTGTAAGGGCATGTTTAGAAGGGTGTAAGGGCATGTTTGAAGGGTGTAAGGGGCATGTTTGAAGGGTGTAAGGGCATGTTTGAAGGGTGTAAGGGCATGTTTGAAGGGTGTAAGGGCATGTTAGAAGGGTGTAAGGGCATGTTTGAAGGGTGTAAGGGCATGTTTGAAGGGTGTAAGGGCATGTTAGAAGGGTGTAAGGGCATGTTTGAAGGGTGTAAGGGCATGTTTGAAGGGTGTAAGGGCATGTTAGAAGGGTGTAAGGGCATGTTGAAGGGTGTAAGGGCATGTTAGAAGGTGTAAGGGCATGTTTGAAGGGTGTAAGGGCATGTTTGAAGGGTGTAAGGGCATGTTTGAAGGGTGTAAGGGCATGTTTGAAGGGTGTAAGGGCATGTTAGAAGGGTGTAAGGGCATGTTTGAAGGGTGTAAGGGCATGTTTGAAGGGTGTAAGGGCATGTTTGAAGGGTGTAAGAGGCATGTTTGAAGGGTGTAAGGGCATGTTAGAAGGGTGTACGGGCATGTTTGAAGGGTGTAAGGGCATGTTTGAAGGGTGTAAGGGCATGTTTGA